ATAAAACCTAGGATCATGATACAGACTACAGTTCATCACTTCATAGTTTAACTTGGTTTAATTTGTTTATATTCTTAGCGTGAGCAGTTGCCATAGCAGTCGTTAAACGACCTATCGTGCAGGGTCCACCTATTGCATTAGCTGGTATAAATATATATGCATATGCTCCACAGAACATAAACCAACCTCTAGGTAAATACAACTCATGTGTCATTCCATCTACTTCCTCAGCTTCCGTACAATGAAAAACTTCTTCAGTAGGCACATGATCATAAATTGCTTTTTCATGCTTTTTCTCTGGATGTTTATATTTAACACAATCAAAAGCTGGAAAAACTGTCTTAACCTCAATAACCAGCTGCTTCTGATTTTTCCATTTAGTTGGCTTCACAGGAGATCCAAAGTAATTACTTTTGGCAAATTATACAAAGTATAAGGGTCAGGGTGCATAATAATCCTAGATTCTCCCATCAAAATTTTTTCCTGGCACTGGAACTCCTACAAAACAAGTAGACATGATGTCTGTAACATGATGTCTGTCTCTCCTTTTACACCAGATACCACCATAGTTTTCCCTACCTGGGCAATACCCTTAGGTAATTTACACAAAGAAGTTCTGGCAGCACCAGTATCTATCAGGGAAATGCCATCTTCCTCCTCAGGTCCCACTTTTAAATGCGCTAAAGGCTCCCGGTGAGACTCGAGTGTTAGGAGCCCTTGACCCCGCTAAACTTCCATTAGGGTATACAGCCTCTGCTCCCTTCTTGCCCCAAGCAAAACACCGCCTACTTCCCTTCACCTCTCTGTTCCCATTCCAGTAAATGGTACCTTATGCAGTAATATTTGCAATTAAATTGTTACATGACCCAGTTACAGAGAATCCCCTAGGAAAGTTGTGGGTCTTTTACGTAAGTTCCCCCACTTGCCACTGGAAATTCCCCAGCTTTCTTCACTTCACTGTTTCTCTTCAGATTTCCTGTTTTTCCCTAAAAAGATTACACAAGAGGTCATTATTATCTCTTAATATGACTTATAATGTCAAAGCACCCTAGTACGTATCTCAGCTTAAGCCAAGTTGAGCAAAGTTTTGCAATCCTGTATAACTTTTAGCAGTAAACACATTGCATAAACGTTCCGATCTTCAAAAGTTCAGATAGTGAACACAAAATGGCTTCAGTTTGGTCCTTTATATTCTTAGGTGTATAAGCCAAATTTCCATATATAACAAAACAAACAAACAAAAATAAATAAAACATGCTGACTGTTTTAAGCCCTCCCATTCCGGGCCACGGCCACCACACTTTGAAACTTTGTTCAAAAAGGATTCATTTCAGACTAATTTGAAAAGAAAATTGGCTGAGAAAATTCCAGACAGAAAGTGCTTAAATAATCGAATAACGGAGCTGGAAGGGACCTTGGAGGTCTTCTAGTCCAACCCCCTGCTCAAGCAGGAGACTCTATGTCATTCCAAACAAATGGTTGTCCAATTTCTTCTTAAAAGCACCCAGTGATGGAGCACCTACAACTTCAGGAGGGTTGCGCTGTTCCGCTGGTCGATTGTTCTGGCTGTCAGGAAATCTTTCCTTACTTCCAGGTTGGTTCTCTCCTTGCTGAGTTCCCACCCGTTGCTTCTTGTCCTGCCTCCTGGTGCTTTGGAGAAGAGGTTGACCCTTTCTTCTTTGTAGCAGCCCCTCAAATATTGGGAGGTTGCTCTCCTGTCTCCCCTGGTCCTTCTCTTCCCTAGACTAGCCAGGCCTGGTTCCTGCAACCGTTCATTGTATGTTTTAGCCTCCAGTCCTCTAATCATCCTGGTTGCTCTTCTCTGCACTCTTTCTACAGTCTCAACCTCTTTTTTTTTTTATATCATGATGACTAAAACTGGATGCAATATTCGAAGTGTGGTCTTTCCAAGGCCTCATAAAGCGGTGCCAACACTTGATCTTGGCTCTGTCCCTCTATTGAGGTAGCCTGGGCTTTTTTGGCTGCTGCCATACATATTGCTGACTCACATATTGAAGTGATTGATTCACTGGGATTCCAAAAGTCCCTCTCGCATTTATAACGATGGAGTTACTAACTACTGAAATGCAGCGGTGTAGTAGCGGAAGGGATACAGTTAGGAATCGTAGCCCTCAGATTACTACCTAGCCTATCTTCCACTTCTCCCCGGAAGGCGGTTCAGTCAGGGTTGGCCTCCCCACCTACCCCCAATCTCTCAAAACGCCTCGCCCTCCCCCGAGGCTGCTGTTAAAGTCCACTTTGCAACAGGCAGGTAATTATGACGGATGTTGTTCCTACTTTAACCTTTAGATTTCAAGAGTTTCTGGCAAACCTCCGCGCGCCCCCCGCCCCCCCAATCTTGTTGCTTTGCCGCCTGGCAATTTGCGCTCACGCCACCCTCTTGGGGTAGAGTGGCAATGATATTTCCTCTCCACTCGTTCCCTAAAGTGTTGCTTCAGGTTTGCAATTTAAAAAAAGGGGGGGGTGAGGGGGGGTTTAAGCCAAAGACACCCCCTACCCTAACACCCATTCAGGAAGGGGTTTTAGTTTTCACGAGCTCCAGCACAAACTAATCTGATTCGGCCTAATGAACAGAGTGCCTGTAATTATCTTTCAGGCTCCTCGCTCCTTCAACGCCTCCAATGCATTTCTATGCTCTGAGAGGACAGCAAAAAAATTTTTTTAAAAAGCAAGTTTTTGAAAATGGTTGGAGAGGCAGCATTGTAGGCTCAATTACATCTAGAAATGCATAGAGGCCTGGCACGTTTACCAATATGCTCTCTGGGAGAAAATATATTCATAATTAAGCGTAAGTCATAATTGTTCAGATCACGGAAAGCGCAGAATGGATAGAAACAAAAATCTACCACCGCTGCTGTTTTCCAAACCTTTGTTTCTGCTCTCCTTATTTTGATCTGTGGCCGTAAATAAATAAACTCTGAAAGGTTCTCTTTGGTTCCCAACAATCTGCAGTCTCATTGCCTGCAGCCACTTCACCCTGAGATCACGGGCTCCCCAAGGATTTATTTATCACGGTAATTTCCAAGCCGTTCCCTCCAGAGAATATCTGCAACCAGATGCCATGGGGGTTTTAACCCCGATACTGACACCCCAAACACAGATTCTTCCTCATTTTAAGCTGCATTTAAAGCCCAACCTTCTGTTTCTCATTAGCTCTGAATGCTTGCACAACAAGAAAAAAGAAAGGGAAAAAAACAACCCAAATCCAAACATTCATTCAGGAGCCAGTAAGTGAGAAATAAAAGGTCCCAGAACGCAACTAAGCAAACAAGTAAATAAATAACACTCCGAAGGAAGGATGCTTAAAAGACGTGTTGGGGCAAATGTATAAACATTTTAAATTGTTATTGTTTGTTAGGAAGGTGGATGAGGAGGGAAATGATGCAAACACATCCAGAATGCAAAGCCAGGTTGGGTGGCCGAGACGGCAGAGATCTTGTCCGTCTCACCATTGTCTACCCAGTATTTCTCAACCTTGGCAACTTTAAGATGGGAGGACTTCCACTCCCAGAATTCCCCTGCCAGCAGG